GTTTCACTCTTGTTACACAGGCTGGAGTGCAATGGCGCGATCTCGGCTCACCGCAACCTCCGCCTCCTGGGTTCAGGCAATTCTCTGAGCAGCTGAATTTTTAATCTCTCTGTTTTTTTTTTTTTTTTGAGACAGAGTCTTAGTCACCCAGGCTGGAGTGCAGTGGCGAGATCTTGGCTCACTGCAACCTGTGCCTCCTGGGTTCAAGAAATTCTCCTGCCTCAGCCTCCTGTAGCTGGGACTACAGGTGTGCACCACTACACCCAGCTACTTTTTGTATTTTTAGTAGAGACAGAGTTTCTCCATGTTGGCCAGGCTAGTCTTGAACTCCTAACCTCAGGTGATCTGCCTGTCTCGGCCTCCCAAAGTGCTGGAACTAGAGGTGTGACCCACCATACCCGGCCTGAATTTTTAATCTTATTTAACTTTTATGATTTTACATTAAGTAGCCACATGGAACTAGTTGTTCCAGTAATGGTCAGTGCAAATCTGAAGCACCCTTGATTTTATAGATGTTTTTGCTTTTGTAATGTGAAACAAAGAAGCTATTCAGAATAAGATGCTTTTGCATTCAAGCTAGTAGAGGCCTACTGAGCACATGAGTGGGGACAAGCTCTGTGCTGCTCACCCAAGAAAGTCACACAGCTCTGCACCACCATACCCTGGACTGGGGAGACTTCCATGTCTCCTGGACTGAGGGAATTCAGAAAAGGAGCTAAATAAAGAGGGGGCAGAATTTGCTAGTGCCACCATAACAACCCACTTTTCCTAGAACAAGATCTCAGAGGGAGGAAATCAAGACATGGGTGGGCCGAGTGCATTTCACTCAAGTTCCTCATTTCTAGGACCAGAGCTTTAAAGGGAAGCTGAATCAGAGGGGAGCTGAGAATCCAGGAGCAGGCTATTAAATTCCAGACCAACTGGCAACCATTTGGAAGGGCCTGTATTTTATCCATGAAATGGATACAGGGTAGTACTTCCTTTGGTCTTGCCATATAACATTCCCGTAGAAGAGTTTTTAGCTTCTGAGCTAAATGCATAAGAGCATTAGGAATAGTATATTTTTAAGCCCATTATTACACAGAAATCTTATTCTTCTTTTTTCCTTTTTTTTTTTTTAATGAGACATGGTCTCACTCTGTTGCCCAGGCTGGAATGCACTGACATGATCTCGGCTCATGATAGCCTCGACCTCGCAGGCTCAAGCCATCCTCCCACCTCAACCTCTCGAGTAGCTGGGACTGTAGGCACATGCCCCCCTGCCCCCCTTTTTTTTTTTTTTTTTTTTTTTTTTTTTTTTGTAGAGATGGAGTTTCACTACATTAGCCAGGTTGGTCTCAAAGTCTTGGGCTCAAGCAGTTTTCCCACCTCAGCCTCCCAAAGTGCTGGGATTACAGGCATGAGCCACAACACCTGACTTAATTACATAGAAATCTTACTTGATAGTGGATGCTAGGTCTGTGCTAGATGCTGAAAAGGCTTCATTATAAAACAAGTATCTCATTTGTAAGGCTGCCTTACCTCATAAACTCTTACAGCTGGAAGAGCAGTTTTCAGGACAAGCCCAAGAAATTATTTTTCTCTGCAAAAAAAACTTTTTTTTTTTAATTAGCCAGGCATGATGGCATGTGCCTGTAGTCCCAGCTACTAGGGAGGCTGAGGTGGAGGATGGCTTGAGCCCAGGAAGTTGAGGCTGCAGTGAGTGAGCTAGGATCATGCCACAGCCCTCCAGCCTGAGCAACAGAGCAAGACCCAGTCTCAAAAGAAAAAAAAAAAAAATGAAAAGGATTTTTTTTTTTTAATCACAAAATGTTTTCCCAAAAATTCCCAAAATACTCAAAAAGACTGCCAGGTCTCAACCTGCATGCAAGATTATAGGGATATCATCACTTACTCCTAAAAATCACCTGGAGTTGGTACCACAGTGAGATTTTAATTAGAAAATTTAATCCTTTTTTTTTTTTAATAAGGTGACAGTCAGCTTCAGAGAAACTGAGGAGAATGCAGTCTGGATTCGAATCGCCTGGGGAACACAGTACACAAAGCCAAACCAGTACAAACCTACCTACGTGGTATACTACTCCCAGACTCCGTACGCCTTCACGTCCTCCTCCAGGCTGAGGCGCAATGCACCACTTCTGGGTCAGGTATGGAACAAATTATCACAAGCTGTAATATTTTGTTATCCTTATCTCAAAGGTCTATATAGATTTTAACTGCTCAATAAGTATTTGATACAGAATACCAGGTGAGGTGTCGTGGCGTGTACCTGTGGTCCCAGCTATCTGGGAGGCTGAAATGGGAGGATTGCTTGTGTTCAGGATACCAAGGCTGCAGTGAGCTGTGATCACAAGACAAAGCAACACACCACCTCTAAAAAAAAAGATACAGAATACTACATTTAATTCTTGTTCTCTTAACATAGGAAACAGAGAATGTTGTTATCTGCAGAGGGGAACATGCGTAAGGTATTAGTTTGGGGCTATACTTTATTGTTTTTTAATCTAGAAATAATGCATGCTTAATATAAAAAAATGCAACCAATACAGAAGTCTCTAAAGATAAAAAGTTTTCAAAGCTTCATACCCCTATTCCCTGTTCCATTCATTCAAAATAACTACCGTCAGAGTTTGCTATTTCCTTTGACAAGATGTTTATTAGAAAAGCCAGGGCAGGCCGGGTGTGGTGGTTCATGCCTGTAATCCCAGCACTTTGGGAGGCCAAGGCAGATGGATCACCTGAGGTCAGGAGCTTAAGACCAGACTGGCCAACGTGGTGAAACCCCATCTCTATTAAAAATACAGAAAAAGTAGCTGAGATGGTGGCGGGCACATGTAATCCCAGCTACTTGGGAAGCTGAGGCAGGAAAATCACTTGAACCTGGGAGGTGGTGGTTGCAGTGAGCCAAGATTGTGCCATTGCACTCCATCCTGGGCAACAAGAAAGAAACTCAAAAAAAGAAATTCAACAGAACATTTCCACATGGTTACAAATGAATATACCTCATTGCTTTTTCATAACTGTATAATTTGCCTGTTGATGAACATCATTTTCATTTGTAACCATTTCTCCCACATTCCATACACAAGGAGACTGCTTTAACTGAGATGTAGCCTCTGTTCAGAGCCTGCTTCTCTTTATGGTTCTGCCTTTAGTATCACAAGCTTCCTAGGATATTTCCCCAAAGTAAGTTCTCCCTAAATTGGTGTAGCAATTGCTGCTGCCACTATTAGCATTCACAACCACAGAGGCACCTTCAATTGGTTCCAGAGCTGCCACATCAGCAGGTTGTAGTGAGTAGCTTCGCCATCCTGGCTGCATCACCGCCTGTCACTACACACAGCAAAGCTGGGTACAGAGCTGGGTGGAGCTGCTGTGTAGACTCCAGTGCTGTGACCAGGCGAGCCCTAGGATCCCTGTGACTGTACTTGCTTGTCATTTAAGTTTTTTGGTGGTTTATTGAAATGGCAAAGACTGCTACTCAATTCTATTTCCTTTTAACACTTCTTTACATTTGGGGTCTCCTCCTCCATGACACATAGTAGTCTTTCATTCGGTTACACCTAGGTAGTTTAAACATTACCTTACCACAGGTAGTTTAAACATTACCCCAAAGGCTAGTATTCTTTTTTTTTTTTTTTTTTTTTTTTTTTTTTTT